GGGTTTCATTGTCTGAGCTAGTGGTGGTAAGTACTAAGTCCATTTTTTTGCTTTGTTTTGTTTTTGCTCTTTAATTCACATGTATTTTATCTCTTTTTGGAAGATTTCCATGAGGTCTGCCAACAGTTGTTTGGCTTTGTCTTGCATCTTTTGTATCAGGAGTCAAATTAAATGTGAAGTTGATTTTAATACTGTTCTGGAATTATTATTAGTGGAATAGACTGCCTACGAAAGTTGTGGACTCTGCGTCGCTGGAGGTGTTCAAGAAGAGACTGGACAGCCACTTGTTGAAAACCGCTGACCTAGATCATCTACATCTTTTGTACCAATACCCATTTGTAAACACTGATGGCCAGTACTGACCCACTATCCCTCACTCCTGACCTGCTGCCCTCTGCCCCCACCCCCTCCCACAGGCGCAGGGAGTGGAAGTGTGGGGCGGGGGGCTCCAAGGAGTGTCTTGCAAGCAGGAACTCTGCCAGCCTACAAGGGGAAAGCCACAGTTTCCCACGTTTTTCTCCTTTGAAAGGAGAATCCATTTTTAAACTTTGATCCATTTTTAAAGTTTGTTCATGACCCTTTCATATATTTTTGCAACCCACTTTTGGATCACGACTGATCTAGGTGTAGCTATGCCTGTGTTCCACTATGGGTATTTCCCATGCTTGTGGGCTTTGCTGGTTGCCCTACCTCTCTTGTGCTACGTCAGGGTGTTTTAAAGCCTTTTTAGAGGCACTGAGTGTTGGCTATAGCCAAGGCTAGGGGTTTTGGCTGGGGTGTGCCAGTGCTCCTGCTGGGTCCAAAACCAGAGGTTCTTGGCTAGAGGGTCTTGCCTCTCTTTCCCAGAATCAGACGTATCGCCATATTTGGGGTCAGGAAGGAATTTGTATCCCATGGTCAGGCTGGTATAGACTGTGGGGGTTTGCCTTGTTCTGTAGTGGGGGGTGTGGCCGTCTGCCTGAGATCTCATAGAAGTTGTCTGTTGTAGTCTCCCCTCTTGACCTGTGGCAGGTTAGGGTGCTAGGTCTGTGTTGTCACGGTTGATGGTAGTCTTATGTAGAGTTTAGATTATGGATTATATGGGATGGTTTGGATAGGGATGATCCTGCTTCAGGCAGGGGGCTGGGCTAGATGACCTCTGGAGGTCCCTTCCAGCCCTGCGTCTCTGTGATTCTATGATTCACTAAAATAAAACATAATCTAAAGCCTGTTTTGGCAGTTTAATTACTTATCTCTGTGTGTGTGTGTGTGTATTCAAGGACTCATGAAGCTAACAAGCTTGTTTGGTTACTGACTTGGCAGTCTCCATAACTACACTGAAAGGGTTATGCAAATTATTTGCCATGTGTGGAAAATGCAGTTGACTCATGCTTGAGTCAGCTGTTCTAGAAACGTGTTGAGTCTCAGAACTTGCTTTGGTTCTGGGTTCCAGAAGTAATTTAGCAAATATTGAACGAGCACAGGATGTCTTTTCTGCAGTCTCTGAACTTGACTCTTGTAGCATGGTGAGGCAGCAAGGTGTCATGATGCCCTAAGCCAGCGGTTCCCTATCTGTGGTATGGGTACCACCAGTGGTACACAGACAACCTGTCAGTGGTATGTGTTAACAGGTTTACTATAATTACTTTGTATGACACACAATTTCTGGTGGTACTTAAGGTTTAACTGAAATTCACTGGTTGTACTTATGGTTTTATTGTTTTAAATTGGTGGTGTGCAGTCTGTGAGAGTTTGGGAACCACTGCCCTAAGCCAGTGGGGACCAATGCATCTGGTCCCAGGGGCCAGGTGAGTGGCATGGGGCCAGTCTGCAGACCTGCATCTGGCACGTGGGGCACGTCTTCCAGCCTGGAAATCTGACAGCGGGACAGACAGCTCCCAGAGCTGCAGCAATTGATGCTGCCTCTGCTCCTTTGCTGCCAAATTTCCAGGGCTGTGTTGAGTCCCGTGGGCCAGGTGATGTGGCCTTGATGTGCCAGATCTTGGCTCTGGGCTTTCCAATTCAGCTGAAAGATGCATTCTTGGAGAGTGCTGAGGCCATTGTTTAGGCAGACCTAGGATCATACAGCAACCATTCACTTCTCACGGTAACAAGGGTTTGCAGGTTTTCCCATCTAGCCTGAAATCCAAATGCTAAGTGTCTAATGGATCCCCCACTCCTATCACTTGCCTGAAGTCCCCTTAATGCTTGTAAGCAAACAATTTGTGTCAAAGTACAAGAGTCTGTTTGTTTTCTCTGTATAATACAACAAGTGATCAACTACCATGAATTAGTTCTCAGACTGGTTTGAGAGCTACTGCTCTATAATCCTTAATTATTTTATGGTTCTGACTCTTACCTGATCAGAGTGATTATAGTTTGGAATAGACCTGAAACAATGTTGCCTTCTCTTCCCCCCTGAGATCAGATTTATCCCTCCCTCCCCCAACCTTCTTGGGGTGTAATGTTAAGGTTACAAAGTTTAATGTTTGCACCATTTAGATTAAGAAATGCCAGAGTTGAGAATTTCAGCTTGAATTGGGCTCCTGGTACATTTATTATATAGTATGGTGTTGAATTGTGCAATTATTTTCATCATACAAAATCATTACCTCACTGAGAGCACAGAAAGGATGTTACTCATTGAATGAATGGCTAGTATTTCCTTTTACCTTCATCACATGGCCCCATGTCTTCCCACAGACTGCCCAATACTTGCTCTGAATGTCAAAAAAAATGATTTCCTGGCGTATAAATCTTATCTTCACAGCACCTGCAGACATGAACTGATATTATCTCCATGTTACAAATGAGGATTTGAAGCAAAAGAAAACTAAGATCAAACTAACTGTCCTCATTTCCAGCCTCTAATTTAAGAGGCCTGATTTTATTTTTCAGATTACTGAGCATTCTCAGAGCCTTGCGTATTCAAACACAGCTTCTTTGGCTTCAGTTAGTTACAAGTACTTGGCACTTCTGTAAATCAGATTTGAGGGTCTCCAGTTTTGCATCCTTAAGTAGTAGCTACCTGTGTAAAAAGTGTGGATCAGATGACTGGCTGGTATTGTGTAGGATTTACACGATGGAGGCAAGATTAGAATTTTTGGGATGGCATTTGGATGTGTTGATCATGAGCTGTGTGGATCTTTTTCTATAGTCCCCTCTCTCATTCACTGTACAACTACCAGCTTCTGCAGAAAATAAGACTGGAGTTCTGTAGACAACAGCTTCACTTACTGTATAGTCTTGAATCGCTTTCTGAGCACTGACTGAAAAAAGTGGCATGCGATCATGAAATTATTCAAAATCCTGTCCTGGCCCTTTATACTTCTATCATTTCATGCTTCTGCTGGTTCCCTTGTTTCCTCTCCACTCCACTGTGCTGAAGTGCTAAGATTTGAAAGACATCTTTCTTCACACTGCCTGGGCTCTACCATGGGATACTTTGAGAACGTAGGGTATGTAGTCTTGTTGCTCTCAGTGTTGGTACTTTTTAGCTCATCTTTGCTGGTTTTGAAAAATTCTGTTAGTATTGCATTTGTTCAGAACTGCGTTACTGGAGCTGACATGTATTTATGATTTTGTACTTTCAGATCTCTCTTGAATACGATATATAATATTTTTCTTTCAAAATTGACCAGCAAGCTAATTTCACTAGTGAAGATGCTTTTGATTTGTATGTGTGGTTGTGATTTTTTTTTTTTTTTAAGGATTTTTTTTTGTGTGGCTGAGGCTTTAGCAGAATTCTATTTCACAGTAAAATCAGAATTAATATTTTGTCTCATGTCTCTCAAGACATTTGAAGGAGACTTTAAAGCTACTAAAGTTGTCACGATCTAAGGACTGTCACATTGTGTATATCCACAGATCTTTTATATTTCCATATCTTCAAGCAGTCAAAGGGATCATCTTCAAGGCTTTCTCCTTCTTTCTGGTGCCATTGACTTGAGGATATTTTTTGAAGAACTGGAAGAGCTTTTCACTGAAAATATTGTCCCATAAAGAATAATTTTCCAGCCTGTTTTTTCTATGCTATGCTACAGATGCGAACAGAGAAGGGAACCAGCTATTCTTTTCAGCTGTACTGTACTAAGGACTGTGCAGCTCTTGAATAATTAAGCTTGTGGTACACTTTAAAAAGTTTTGTTTTGGTTTGGTTTTTTGAAGTGGAAAATAACTGTTAACTTCTACATCATATCAATAGTTTTGTTTCCTTGAGGGCCATTCATAAACGTGTACTGTAAATTCTGGAATTCAGTGGTGGACTAATTCGGGGTCTTTAATGGCTGCAGCTTGAGCATCTTGAAACAAATGATGTTCCAGTGGCCAAGTCCTAGGACACTTAGGTTCAAGTCCTCCCCCCCCACCACAGACATTCAGGATGACTTTGGGCAAGTCACTTAGCCTCTCTGTGCCTCAGTTCCGTGTCTGGAAAATGCAGATTAAAACGTCTGTCTCTCCTGCAGCTTTTGTGTGGCTGTGCATACTAAAGTTTGTGAGGTGTTCAGATGTTGCAGTGATGGGAGGTGTAAGTGCTTTTCATCTTACACTGATGAAGGCAATGTGAATTGACTTCAGATTCACCTGCTTTTATTACAAAACTGGTCGTCTTGTTTTGAATGCTGTTTTGAAATGTTCAGAGAAGGTTCAGTGATATTAAGAGCTTCTAACAAAATGCTAATGTAGGATCTTCTGCATCGTGTGGACAGGAAGTAAGACTATGCTGTTTATTCCTCTGAAGAGATGAGAAGTCCCCCTTTTTCTCACAGCATACACTGTCTTGGCCCAATAGCATAATTTCTAAAGTGCAAGATGAGCTCTTTTCCCACATAAGGACCAGAACTTAAACATGAAAGCATCTTCACGCTGGTAATGTACCCTCACGCAGATGTTGCTCTTTCTCGATGTTTTGGTTTAACTGTTTGACATGTAGGATTACTAAAAGCACCACTCTAGTTGCTCAGTTTAATCTCACTGTCAGATGTTCTCAGCTCTCAAAGTTTCTTTCTGATTGTTTTTAGGAGTAAAAGTTCCTCGTAATTTTCGTCTGTTGGAAGAACTTGAAGAAGGTCAGAAAGGAGTAGGAGATGGGACAGTTAGCTGGGGTCTTGAAGATGATGAAGATATGACCCTTACAAGATGGACAGGAATGATTATTGGGCCTCCAAGAGTAAGCATCAACTTAAAGATAAAAATGCCAATGTCACTAATCTCTGCTTTTTTTCTGTTCCCACTGCCCCAGCCTAAACACTCCGGTGTGTATCTGACCAAGTATGCGCTTGCAACCTGGTTTACTTAGCATGTAAAACTGGATTTTACATGCCAGTGTATCTTTCTGCATACAAGTTTGAATAATGCTGTGTAACCATTCTCTAGTTAATTCTGTGACAAAACTATCGTTCGTCCTTACACATTCACTCTAGATTGTGTATGTGCAGAGAATACCCCAAGCTAAATTAGGTTTTGCATACCAGCAGAGATTAATCTGTGTGACCTAGACTGGATGCATCAGAGGGCTAATACAGCTATACTGCTTCTACTTCTGGAGGCAGCATCTGCAAGGCTAACAGCATTGCTGTATAACAGTGTTTTTTGTGCCTTATACACGTACTCTTAGAATGTCACTTCTGATTCCCAGGGTACTGCTGAATACAGCAAGGTTTAAAAACCTTGAAATTTATATTTAGAGAAAATGCAGGTAAAATTCTCGCTAACTGTTCTATTTTCACTATATTCTGTGTGAGTTCACTTCAGCTTCATTCATCATTTTTGGGAAATTCTTGAGGACTTTTGGGTGTTTTTTCTGTTACAGCGAAACTTGCTTACCTAAAAGTTTTAGATACGTCAGAAAATGCTAATGTTTAGAAGCTCAAACTTTAACTCAGCAGTAATTCTGCCTTTTGTCATATCTCCCCTGTATTTTTTTTTTTTTATAATTGTTTTGAGTCTGGGTAATGTCTGTGTTCTGTTTAGAAAAGTCATGAAAAAAGCCTGCAATACACCCATGTTATCACAGTGGGTGGAACATAAGTTATTATGCTTAGTATTTCCACTTTATCTTTGTCTCTCTACTTATTGTATTACAGTCTTAACAATAAAGATAGTGACAAGCTTGCCATTGCATAGCTGAGAAGCAGCTTAGGTCTGTTGGCTGTTCAGTTCACTCTACTTTCTGTTTTCGGATAGGGAAGGAAGCAAAAAAAATTTTAGTAGACAAACTGAAAAAAATGTTTCAAATTTTTAGGAACTTTCTTGCTGATTGCTGGCGGGCTGGGTACCTCACAATAAAAATAACTCTTTTGAAGAATGTCTGTAAGATACCCCTTACTAATTAGTGATTTGGCCTTTGAGGATTTATTCTGTGTATTAAAAATATGATAGATGGGATAGTGAAACTATGTTTTCGTGAACTAGAGACGCATAGCTTATTGATGATAGCTATGGGTCTCTACTTCACAGTAGTGAATTCCAAAGACTGGTTATGTACTCTTCATTTGTGCTGGATAGGGGAGGCCAGGAGTGGGGTGTGCCATTCCAGCTTCATTGACTCTTTTATTCCAAAAGGATAAATGGAAGTACCCAAGTTACCTTTGCTGTGCCATTGTATTATGTAGATCTGTGTCCAGACTGTCTCAGTTTTTTCAGCCTGTTAGATGGAGCCCTTTAAGCACTATAACTGCGTATCTCTGCACCCCTTTTTCTAGTCTTCTATGAGAGAGGTTGACCAGGATTGAAGAGAGGTCAGGTTGACCATGGCAGCTGAGGCTGTACCATTAATACCATATTTTCTGTGTCACTATTTATTCATCCAAACATTTTCTTTGACGGCTGCTGTAAGCATATCCCGTGATCCAGTGGTATCTGACCTTTGTCGGCTTGCACGCAAAAATTTGGAGCAAGTCAAATTAAACAGACCTGTGTCTGTGGGAAGCAAGGGCGTGTGTGTCAGCTGGCAGCAAGAGGTCTTGGTGGGCACCATGTTGCTTGCGAGCCCTGGGTTGGGGACCACTACCCTTATCCATTCGTTCATATATCCATAGTGAGCCTTAGGTTGTTCTCCTGAGAGTTTTTGCTTAATATTAGAAACTAAATTGTGGAAAGGAGTTTGCTTAATGAGGAGTTTGCTATGCAGAGATGTTAAAAATTATCAGCATATATACACCTTGCATAACATTCAGGCAGAATGAAAGTTTTAATTTAATTTGTAGATTAACTGGAAACTCGCACGTACTAATAGGTATTTATTTGCTGACCCATAACCAGCAGTATAGCTCATACTGTAGAACAAGCTCATGAAGTAACATAGGCAGATTCTTCTAGTGTGCTTCTTTTCCTTCTCTTTCCTTTTTCTGACCCATTTATATTTATAGATGAAGTTTTTTCCAGGTATTGGGTTTTTTCAAACTGATTTTTATTTTTTATTTTTTTTGCTTGAAAGCATCATACTATATTGAAGTGTATAGACTTTTGTTTACCAAGTATGGCTTCATAGTCAGTTTTGTTTCCTTTGTTTCAATGAGATGTACAACGCGCAAGCCCCAAAAAGCTGCTCGTCTCCTCCTGTAGGTAGGGGTATTGACAGGGGAGTTTGTGTTTTGGTGATGGCAGAAGACAAATTAATCTCCTGTGTAGAACTAGTACACGCTGCTGCTTCTGATGGTCCCTATTTCCATACATGGAAGCAGGCTTTTCCTCCCATATAGCTTTGCTGTATATTTACTCCATCTGCAAGACCTCAGCCTTGGCTGTAAATGTTTCATATTGTCTGTAGGCGCCAAGTAATCCAGCTTGTAATGTCTGTCACTTGCAGCACTTGTATTAAAAAGCTATTTTAAAGAAGCCTGAAAGTTTGCATGTGCTTCTGTGTTGTCATGCTAGCAAAATGCACCTGAGTGGTTTTGACACTTGAATTGTGGATGATTGCCTAATCTATCTAGAGGTGACAGACAGAGTTTGCTCAAGTTCTCGTAACAACCTTCTGTTTGTTCACCTTTCCCATCTGTCGCCTTCTGACGATCTCCAGCCGAAGGAATTGGAAAATTTTTCTGAATAACTGACCACTGGATGTCACTGTTGCACAGAAAAACTGCTGCCTATGCATATTTTTTTCCTAATAAACCAGAACCTGCTACTTTGGAGCTCTGCATAAGACTTGCTGTGTGTTATAGGCAGGTACACAAACGTATGTTCAGGTGCACTTGGCCCCTGACTCCTGTGTTTTATAATGGTTCATATCAGGAAAGATGTTAAAAAGATGGTCAAGCTGGGTATTCACTGGAGAAAACTATTGTGTTTTATGTTGAGAGAGCTCTTGCTGTATAAAATCCTGGCATGGATTAAGAATTACCAATGCTTTATTTTTGCCGGGAGTTTACATAGATTTTGTAGAGAAGTAAAGCTGAAAAGGACCTCAAGAAATCATCGGGTCCAATGGAAAATCAAACCAGCGACTTTGGTGTTGTTGGCACCATGCTCTAACCGGATGAGCTATGGGAATATAAAATACATTACAGTAACAAAAGACGCTTCTCTTTAGGCCCCTGCAACCCTCCGTACTGGAATGGCAAGAGAACTCTTAACTTGTGATTTCCCCCCCCCCCGGTTTGGCTTTTTTTTGTAAGCTTTCGGTGCAGTTTTGACTCTGCACGAAAATGTGTCCAAACTGCCAAATGCTGAAAATCACACTCCTCTTATGCAGATCTGTCATTCTGCTTTCATTATTACTATTATAGCTGGGGCACTCTTCACCCAGAATGCCAGAACTCCATGTTCAAAAATTCTGTAGTTTTTGTGTAGTGCTGCACATTGTAAGTTGACCTCCACTTTCTTCCTGTTTCCTTATACTATCTTTAAGAATTGCAGAATCAATGCACACACTACTGCAGGCACTTCCTCTGCCTGAAGAAGGGTGTTTGTACCTGAAAGCTTGCAAAGAAGAATTTTTCCAACTATTTTAGTTGGTCTAATAAAAGATATCAGATTTACCCCTTCTCTGCCTACATCAGGGGTGGACAAAATGCGGCTCAGGGGCCAGATGTGGCCCACCAGGCCATTCTATCTGGCCCACAGGGCCCCTAAAAAATGTAGAAAATTAATATTAATCTGCCCTGGGCTGCCTGTCATGCGGCCCTCGATGGCTTTCCGAAACTCTGTAAGTGGCCCCCTGCTCAAAATATTTGCCCACCCCTGGCCTACATACTTGGACCAACACAGCTACAACCAACACCCCTCGCTACTTTTTGCTTCCTTCCCCTATACCTCCATGTTGTTTAGCATCTCTTAGGTCTGTAAAGCACCAACCAATGTTGTTGCTATATAAGAAATAATCCTGATGGCAAGTAAACTATTAAATGTATTGTATTTGGAGCATTCCACTGTCCATCCTACTTCCTGCACTTTGAGTTACGAAAACAAGAAAAACCTCAAGGTTTATTTATGTCTCAAACTCAGAGGAACTAAAAATTGTAGACTTCTCTGGTAGGTTGAGCTTAAATCGCTGGTTACTCTAAAGTAGTGGCTTCCATTCCAAGATAGTTATCTGTAAGGCAAACAGTGCAAAACTCTACTTGCCTTTATATTTCTTCGTATGTATCTGAACTATTTGGTGAAAAAGCTAGACCGCTTTATTCTAATTAGTACCCCAGAAATGATGTCGGTTTTGTTCTTTAACCTTAAGCACAGATAATATTTTAAATATAAGATTGCAATGTCATAAATGTCTGTTGGAGGTGTTCAGTGCATTTAGCAAATTTCTCAAAGGTGAGAGTGCAGTGTGTAGTCTGTGTAGCAATGATTGCCCTTTGAGAAACAGCATGCAGAATTCGAACTTCACGAATGTCAGTGACCGTCTTTGCCAAGTGATTCATGTACCACCTGACACAATGTTCTTTTTTTCCAGACAATTTATGAAAACAGAATATACAGCCTTAAAATAGAATGTGGGCCTAAATATCCAGAAGCACCTCCATTTGTAAGATTTGTAACAAAAATTAATATGAATGGAGTAAATAGTTCTAATGGAGTGGTAAGTTTTTTCTGTTTATATTAACCTAGTTTAAATGTACATGTTTTAAATCAGTGTGTTTTCTGAACTCCCATGTTACTTAACTGAATGCCCTCAGGTATTGCTTTGAGAATTGGAAGAGGGCGGGAGAGGAAAATGGCTTTTACACTATATATAAACTTACCATGCTAGTCAGTAGTGCCCTCAAACACACCGTGCCATTCAGCCCAGGCTGCTTTCTGAATCGGAGCAGTGTAGCTGCATGCTGATTCTTTGTCTTAATCTGCTTGCAGCACCACACAAGTGTGGTTTGGTGCTTATGGGTTAGGAGGTACCCTACATGGAGCAGTGTGGCATGCTTGAGGGTGCCCTTGCCTGGCATGGTAAACTTACAGTGGAGACATAACTATAATGCATCAAATACTTTCCCACACCTGAACTGTGTAGCTGATTTCATCCCCATCCTTTGCCCTGATAGCATGAATGTTAAACAGCAGGAATACTTATTAAACTTGAAAGGAAACTACATTTCTGTTTAAGTCTGAAAAACACTTTTCTTTGTTTTAAAAACAGCATCTAGTAAGGAGCTATATATTAACAGTCTGAGGACTGACAGTTTTGGTGTTTTTTTGTCTATTTTAGGTGGATCCCAGAGCCATATCAGTCCTAGCAAAATGGCAGAATTCTTATAGTATCAAAGTTGTTCTGCAAGAACTTCGGCGTCTAATGATGTCTAAAGAAAATTTGAAACTTCCTCAGCCACCTGAAGGACAATGTTACAGCAATTAATTAAAAAAAAAATCATGCCCCCCTATTCAATTTAAGCTGTCTTCATTTTCCACAGTAGTAAATTTTCTAGATGCATCTTGTAGACCTCAAAATACTGGAAAGGAAGTTCCCATTCAAAGGAAGTTTATCTTGAATACTGTAAATGATACTAATTTTCCATTTGAAATATAAGTTGTGCTATAACAAATAATCCTGTCATGTGTAACCACTGTTCACATAGTTGAACTTCTGGTATCAAGAAAAGTCTATTTAAATTTATTACTGTCAAGACCAGTGTGGCACATCTAACTCAACTGTGAAAGCATAGATCACACAATCACCTTGCTGTGTGTTTGGCCTGGGTTATTCCCCTTCCCCCACCTTTTTCTGTCTTTTGCAATAGAGTCGAAGCTCAGGGCTATTTATTAGAGGAGACACAAAGGTTTTAGCTTCCAGTACTACACTGGGCTTTATGGACTACTAATGGGGATGTGTGCTAACCTCAATCATCCCTCCCTTTGTGCTATCTCTAGTAAAGGCTGAATGTGACTGTGGTTGTTCTTTTTGGGTTTTCTTTCTTTTCTTTTCTTTTCTTTTTTTTCCTTTTATTGCCCTGATAATCAGGGGTAGGCTTTTCTTCCCTTTGGCCAAGGCATAGATTGTATTTCTCCTCCCGGTCCCCCTTCCCAGTTATGTGGGCCTTGGGTGAGGGATTCAGGGTTCTTCGATCTCTCTCCTCTCCCCCATTGTCCTAGTGGGGGTGCTGCTTTATTTTTTGTCCCCTTCTATGACTCTTCTTCGTGCCAGTGGCCAGCAATGGGGTAAGTGTTGGGGCAGTTATCTGATGTGTCCCCTCATGCTTGTCATTTTGTTTTTGCAATGAATTTAGTCTTCACCAGCCTGGGAAACAAGAGTATCTATTCTGCTCGCAAACTTGGATCTCCCCTGCCCCCTTGGCACTGCTGCCACACCGCCAAGCTGGCCACGGCTGATATTAGATAGGCTTTTGACATGGTGAAAAGAGCAGTAATTTACCAGGATTGCTTGGATCTGCTAGCTGCCAAACCGTAATAGGGAAACTCTGCAAATAGAAATTCTAAACACACACTCCAGTTAAACCAACTTGAATTTTGGTGCTTTACAATTGACCTGAGAATGTTAACTAATAAACAATGCACTTACCTTTTGGCCCTTCTAAAGACCTGACAACTAGAGACAAATCAGCATACTGTAGACTTTGTTTTGACACTTCAAGTCTCAGGAGGAAAAACTGTGCCATGAAGAATTGGAGGGGAATGGTGCGCACAGCAGATTAAGGACCTCCTTTATTGGCATTGCGTCCTGGCAAATCACTGTCTTTTCTGATTACTATTTTGGACCACTAACTGCTGAAATGTGGATGCAAGCTTAAATACAAACAACCTAGTGTGTCCTAAGTTTTATGAAAAAATCAGTGTTTGTGTAAAAAATAAAAAAATAAAATAAAAATAAACACACTTTAAAGCAGCAACTATCAAGTCAATGAACAATTGATGTTTCCATTAACTCTTTTGAGGAAAATATTAGTTGTAAGGATTTAACATCCTCTGTAATTAAAGTTTAACATAACAGTATTCCATAAGCAGCCTTTTTATTGTATCAGACCATTGCCTGATTTTAATATAATAAAAAGTGTGCATTAATATTATGAGGCTTTAATTGTATTTATGTTTAGAATGTTGATCCCGTAAATCACTGAATTGTTTGGCAGTATTTTGCTACAAGTGATAGTTAATATGGTTATTTGATTTTTTTTTTTTTTTTTTTTTTTTAAACAGTAAAATGTGAGAATTTCTGGACATAGTTAATATTATATGGTGAAGGAAAAAAGACAGTGGTGAAATAAGTGTCCTTATACACGTTCTGCTGCTGTGCCTCTTTCAGCATACTCGAAAGAGTTTTTTTTTTTCTTTCCCTTTACATGTCTCTCACTGATGTCTAAGCTCAGAATAATAATTGGAAATGTTTTCAGTGATCTTAAATTGCTAGAACAAAATCTATAGAGATGTTTGTCTCGGGGAGCTGCTCTACTGTAGTGTCTAGTACAGTGGTCTTACAGCAGTCCTTCTGAGAGAACCTGATTCAGGTGCAGCAATGTCTTCTATATACTGTCTGACCAGTCAAGAGAAACACATTCCCAACATAAGTGTTGTTGGGTTCTCAAGTAGCACAATGTGTAAACTTGAAGGCCTCTAAAGCTGGATGAAAATGGGGGATGAGAAGTTTTAGTCTTTTTGCTATTGAGTGTCTCCCAGTAGAGGAAGTATTAAAAGATGCTGCTTCTGGCTTTTCACTTCAATGTATTGGTGATCTGGAGTTCCCTCAAGCAATCAACTTATTCAAGCTTATCTGATAGTGGGTAAGATTAAATGGTGTGGGTATTCCATTTCCACGATGCTGGTCTATATACCACTCTTGGAAATGGGCTAGCAACAGCCATGGTGTAACATGAATATCATTTTCATCCTGGAGATGGGCGTTGCCTAGAAAGGTTTTGGTGCATACTTGAAGATATGTAATATCTATGCATAATAATGAGTTGACATTTTTCGGACATGTTAGCATGACACCCTACCATTACAGTAATCTAAGCCAAATAAAATTGGGATGTGAAAATAATAAATGTGAGCAAAGTTTCTGATTTTCAGCAGCGTTGATGTTTTTACAAATTCCAGTGGCTTGTTGACTGCTTTGTGACATCAGCATCTTCCTGAGGCTTCTGAAGACAGGAGAGGAAAGAACCCCATATTTCATGTAGCTTGCTGTTTAATAATGTGCCATTGGAGGAGGAAAGCACAGTTTCTGCTTAACCCCTGCTGGCAATCTGCTTATATTCCAGGATGCTTCTGAATGGACTATCTGAAGAGTGAAGAGGTGGAGTAAGAATACTGCCCAAAGACTGAGTCTGTCTCAAGTGTGCACCAAGTTTGACTGAAGTCAGTGGGAGCAGCTGGCAAAAATGAGAGTTGCATTTTTTTACTCATTCTTCAATGGGCTGGCCTATAATTTCTAGTCCTTGGAACTCTGTCATGTCTACGGTCAGACATGTGGATCTCTGATGGGCCTCTTCAGTCATGCAGACTCACCAGTGACTTCGCTGTTTTCTGGAAGACTGTCATCTTTGTGTTGAGGCACTGCTGCTGCTCCTGAGTTTTTAGTCACACTTGAGCAGCTATCGCACATTGTATATATTTAGTATATCAATTTAGCAAGACATACCTAAGAAATCTCAGCTTACTACCCCTTGAGTGGATAGTAGCAGGTGGCATTACTATACTCATTAAACAGTAGAGGGAGCTAACAAGCTTTACAGCCTGAGTTAGGTTAAAATGCTGTTAAAATCAAATGCTGAGTCCTTTTGTAAGAGCCACGTCTGTTGTTATTAAGTAAAACTAATAATCTTTTGCTTCCTGTCAGTAATCATTAAAGATTTTAGGGGCTAGGGGAAGTTTAATAGTTCTGTATCTCTTGGTGCTGGTGTAGTCTATTCATTATTAAACTTAAGTTGTTTCAATCACTATTGAAACAAATAGCTTTTAAACTAGGCATAGGTAGTCAGCTCTGCAATGAGAAGTCAGAATTACACCCATTTTGTATAGGTGAGCAAGCTAAGATACAAGAAGTGCTCAAGTAACTTGAACAGGGATATACAGTGAGGCAGTGGCAGAGTAACCCATTAGTGCATGCCTTTTTAATGGTGTGTGTTCCTGTAATACTGAGGAGACACTTGGAAACACATGATCAGCTTTATTGCATGGCTCACTGAGCAGAGTTATGTGCCACTCTAACAGAAATAAAAGCTCTCATGCTCTGGCCCTGTTGTGGTGGATCTAGGCAGGCTAGAAGAAAGGGAATATCATTTATCCCCAAGTAATATGGAGAGAGGAGGCACCAAGGATGGAATTTTTAAGAGTGCCTATGTGCTATAGGAATTGAAACTTGTACTCTTAAACTGTCAAGGCCTTCTGAAAATGCCAACCTGAAGGACGTGTCCACAGTCCCGGAAATCCGTGTCTGGCTAGGAGCTGAGCTTTGCTCGCTGGAGTTCAGCGTTTTACTACAGAACCACGTTTTCTATGTTTGAGAAGGACTGGTGCACGTAAATGCAGTGCTTGCTGAAATGAGAGTGCTATGGACACACTGGCTTCTGCTCCAAAGCCCAAAGCTCGTTTAATAAATGAACGCAGCTTTTCTGGCAACTTAAGAGTTCTCTCTTCAGTGGAGCTTGTCATATCAGTCTTTGGTCAAAATGGTTTCCAACAGGATATCACCTTTGCCCAACCTGAGGTACAGGTCACTTCAATGCTCCCCTTTTGCGGGCTCTGGCTTGGCTTCAGAAAAGCACTGAAGCATGTGCTTAACTTTAAGCCTGTGAAGAGTCCCACTGAAGTCAAATTAAAGATAGGTGCATGCTTAAGTGCTTTGTTGGATAAGGGCCAGAGTCGTGGAGCTTGTAGCAGAGAGCCTGTATTCCCTATGCTCCTCCTAATCCTCTTCTTGCTGCTCTCTTTCATCATCTCCTGTTCTTGCCCTGCACTTTCCCGCTGCCCTCTATGTACAGAACAAGAAAACACAGTAAAAAGAGATGAAAAGGCAAGAGAATGGAAGCACATGGAAATTCAGTCCCTTGTCTGACTACTGCTTTGTCCCCATCCTCCATGCTTTTCACGCGTGTCCTTCAAAGGAATACTCTCTCTCTCTCCAGTCCCCACCAAAGCGGAGAATTGTCCAAATTTCCTAGCCTCCAAGTCTGGCTCTTCTGGCTTTGCTCTGCAGCATATCCCAATGACCTGCACATTAACTGCATTTTTAAATTTCAATCAAATTTTCTCCCAGATGATGCTAGGCATTGAAGTAGAATAGGTGACAACTAAAGGGGAAAATAAGATTAGACGGACCATTTGAAACTTCCCTTCCGCTCCACCTTGCTCAACGCCCACTCTCTTGTGATGTATTTTGCTAATGTGGCTGTAGCCAAAATGTGCTTCAGGGTTAGTGAAACCTGGTTTTCTCCTGCAAAAAACCAAGCAAGAGTTTTTGAGGTGAGAAGACAAACAACCTATTGGACAAAAGACTTTACTGTAAAGAGCAAACACTTTTTCCCTCGTTCCCTCTGTTTTGCAGGTCTCTCTTACCAAACTCTGCACCAGTCTCTACTACCATAGTGCTGTTGCCTTGGGTGCATGGTGTTGCCTTAGCGTAGCTTTCTGGGGTAGGAGTGCTCTTCATTTTGCAGTGTAAAGTGCTAGTAGGTTTGTGATGCTGCATATGTTGGGAAGAGGGTAGAAAAAAAGTGACTGGAGCTGGGTCTATGTATGCAAACTGGAGTAGTTTCCCTGGGCGCCACGCATAGCTGTCTGCATTTCCTGGGAGACAGAGCTTCCCCCCTGCTCCCGTGCCTAGCGGTCTCCTGCAGTGCGCGCGTGTCTGCTGCTCGTGTTTTTATAAGCTGGGCAGACAGAAGTGCGCTTCAGAAACATTCCTGAAAAATGGAGGGTGTCGTGTAGAATTAATTAAAGCCTTGCATAATCGCTAACGAAGGATGGCTGCTAAGATAAACAGGGCTTCAGTTACACCTCTGATACTGAAGGGCTGAACGTGTAATACTGAAGCAGTTACTGGGGCTTGAGAAACAACTGTGGTAGAGCAAGGATCTCAGTATGACATTTGCCAAACTTCATTCCCTCCAAAGAGACTTCTTAAATCCCTGGGCTACCAGATTAGATGTTGTCCAAGGTTAGCAGCCAGATGTTTCTCAGCTGTTGGACTGATTTCCAGCTGAGACCAAATGAGCAGCTATCCAACATGTAAGTATTAATATAAACATTGTAGAGGCCTAGCCTTGAGCAAGCCATTAAAAACTTCCCACGATCCTATGAGTGATGCTGGCTTCCTTGGAGAGCATCAGTATTTTGTATATCGCACTTGCATATCCTGCGTGGGTCAGACTTGGGCTGCCACCTGCTAATGCGGTGTTTGGGCCCGGCCTCCCCCTTGTTCTCGTGGCGCCAGAGCCGTGCGGTCCCTGGAATTTGATTATTTGTGTTAGCAGATAATTTAGGCCAGAAGGTTTAGAGCGCTCCCTTCATTCTCTGGATGTCGTCATGCTTCCCAGCAAAAAACAATCCCAGGTCCTGTGTCGCTTCCTCCCCCCACCAAATACAGCAAAACCGCTTTCAACTTTGCTCCTTGAAAGAGTCACTGTCAACTAGTTTTCAGCCTGTTGTTCAGGTTTTGGGGAAACACTGCCTGAAGGGAAGGATTTGCCAAATCTAAGGTGAAAAAAAGCTTAATTATTTTTTAAAAAATCCAGGAAAATGAAAAATAAAAGCAAATATTTCCCTGAACTGTTATGAGCTGCGCACATTTGCACACAGCAGCTAGGGCACGAGGAGCCGTTCGCCCATTGCCCCCTGTTCTGCTGGAATGAAATGCAAGTCAAAACCTTTAAATAACTTTGTAATAACTCAGCGTTATAAACCCTTTTAGCAAGATTTTAATGTTTTGTGTTACTCTTGCACTGAATAGTACCTTGTACCACAAATAGTCCCATTAAAGTTGATGGGATTCTGACCTGTAGCATAAAACACTAGTCAAGGAGGGGTAAATGCATTCTAGGATGGACGTAAGAAAGGAGCTTGTGCCTCT